TTTGAAAGCTGAAAATTGTGAGTCAACGTGTCTGTTTGAAAGCTGAAATTCTACGTCTGTGGTGTGTGACGAGTTTGCTGAGCTGTGGAAACACTTTATTCTGTTTAAACTGTGTTCCAGACGCTGTTCTGGTCCGGTTCGGTTTCTGAAAAGTTCGACCGGTTGGTTTTAAATGGTTAGAAAGACGTTTTTAATGCCGGGGCGCCGACTCCGTGCAGCTCAGAGCTTGATTCGTGACATTTGTAGCAGAAAATGGTGCATTTTGACTGTTTAAAAGACGAAAAGTTGACGGACTTTTTCAGGCTAAAGGCTACATGCTAGTGGGAAAAACGTTCTGTGATTGGTTGAAAACGACCGTGTGTAACGTTTTGATTGGCTGACAGACGTGTCAGGTCGTAAAGCCCACCCCCATGCTGCTCTGTCATTGGTGGATTCAGTCACGTGACCCGGAAATAAGTTTGGTTGCACCGAACCTTCTCTGTGCTTAAAATCTGCTTTTTAAAAGTTGAAAAACGCTTTAAAGTTGATTCTGATACGTTGCTCCGTGTCTTTGAAGCTCTAATCGCTGAAATTTTGCACGTTTGAGTTTAAAATCCGTCATTAAATGATGTTTTTGAACAACGCTAGCGATGCTAATTTTAAGCTAACAGCTAACGACCGGATGAGTGACGTGTCACGTCACCTCCTCCATGTCAGATGGTAAAGCTTGGTTGCACAGAAGCCTTCGTTGTGCTTAAAATCACTAAATGAAGCTGCCACAAGTCCCAGAAAACTCATGTTCATGCAAAGAAGTCGTGCTTGTTGAAACAACGCCAGGTTTAAGCTTTAAAACCGTTCAGAAATGTTGATTTTACCGAGTTTTAGCCGAAGCTAACTTTAAGCTAAGCGGCTAACAACAGGATGTCAACAGAACGTCACAGGAAGTCGTCATAGGCTCCTTCTGGTATAAAGCTAAACACTGCCCCCTCCTGTAGGAACTTGAGATCACAGTTTCACTGTGTTTTAGGTTATTTTTGAGTGAAATTAAACGTATTTTCTTTCTGTAAGGCATTTTTGAGTTAATAAACGTTCCTCAAAGCTGAATAATCACTGTTATCTTGCATTTAAAAAGTAATTAAGGTATTTATGCAGAAAGGCATTTACCAGGACATTTTTCATTCACTGAATTCCTCAAACAGGAGGGACAAAATGAAAAATTAGAAACTTTTTAAAAGATTCGGTTCAGATATTCACAGAGCTGATCAGTTTACTCATTTGCTGGAAAGATAATACACGTTTAATTGCTAGATCACTAAATAAGAGTAAATATATCAGAAAAAAAAGAGACTTTTCTGATCTTATTTTACCACCTAAAACAATTACATCTTCCTATTTAATTTTAAATAGAAGATATTGGCAGGAGAACAGGAGTAATAACAGTTTTTCTGAAGAAAGACTGATTAATCCTGACACATCATCAATTTTTATTTTTTCTGTACACCTCTGAATTCAATGAGTAACTGTTAAAGTAGCGAGTTTCTGGAAGTAAACGGTTTAAAAAGCGTTTT